GAATACAGAAACTAGCCAAGTTAGCACCTCTGACATCTGGAGCGGCATAAGGGCCGCTGAATGGAGAAGAAGTCCTGCCACCTGATGTCTGATTTGATGGCCAAGAGGAAAACGACTCGCATTGGGCCCTCGGGAATGCAATTTACTGTTTCACTTTCAGCGTTCAAATCAGAACAGGTAAACGTGGCCCGCCGATAAGCAGACGGTTCCAGCCAACAGTTGTGCGTCTCGCCCAAAGATAAAGTTAATTGCCGGCGTTTACAATCTGTTAGTTTATGGAGTGTTGCCAACACTTCTGTATCATCCTATCGCCGGCTCGTTAAATACACTTCAAAACGCTCTCCACAGCGGAAGCGGAAGAAAGTCTTTTTTCTCCTGAATATTTCAGCGGCTCGAGCGTCGAACAAGCTACGTCATACTGTGAGATCATAGAACCCCCAACACTATTTGCATATACAGCAATCGATTGTCTATCATAACATGTGCTGAAGAATTTGTCACGTGAATACGATGCCTCTCAGCAACTCACACTGCAAAAATTTATACATAATATATTCATTGAATCTTGGCTTAATGTGTAAGCTTACATTTATGTTTTATTGTCTTTCTCTGGTAGAAAATGCTAATTACAAAGGGTAGTTGCGTATTTTACATGATGCTTAAGTACATTTGTTAAATGAAGTTCAAGCTGTTGTTTTTTAATTGTTGTTAAATACCTGGTAGATATGTGGGATGGCAACAGCTTAAGCTTCAGCAAAGTCTGGAGTGTGGCCAATGAACTCCCTTGTGAAATACAGACTTTTTCCGATTTTAAGGGTCAAATCGGCTGTTTCTAATACACCGCGATTCAAAAAGTAGGCCCGTTTGAATGAAATTGAGGAAAGTCCCATACATAAATCATTTTCGGCATAGGCTGCGTGGGATCGGCTTGAAGCCATCGCAGGGAGGTGTCTATTTTTGGACACCGAATCGCATCTCTTGTAAATTTCAGTGCGGGATTGGCGGGCGGAGTATTCCCCGATATATGGTATATGTGTAAATGCTACCGCATCGATTTGCGTGCGATGTGTGTCAAGTAGATGCAATCGCTGGGCGAAGTGAGCTCTGGATCGGATCACATCGACTGGAATCGATTTGCCTGCAAATTAACGAATCGGATGTGCCTGGATTGAGAGGGGGGAGCGCTACTTTCTACCCTTTGACTGTACTTTATGCAATATTTATACCTGGATGGATCGTGGCTCTTGGGAAATTCAAATTGCAGATGAGCCACAGATGTCAAGCAGGAAGTGAAGGTAATTTTAGTGTGGCATATAAGGTGGCTAATTAAGCCGCTACATGACCAAATCATAACCACAATTAACCGCTTGGCGAACATGTCGCCGGCAAGGGCAATCAGTCGGCCAGCCCTGGGCGATCGTGGCTCTGGCCCTGGCCCCTTTTTGCGATACCCATCCCCATCCCGATCCCGATCCCCACTCTGATCTCGAGATGATGGGCCTAGCAAACACAGAGCGACATGTCAACTATAACCACCCATCGATCGGGCTTGTCGACAACTCAGAAGAGTACAACCATCCAGAGACAAGTAACAACATTTATCAACGCTCGCCGATCTACAGCAGTCCAGGCACGAAGCCTACGAGGGGGTTAAGAGATGGTGATGCTGCCTGGCTGGGGAAGGTGGGGGATTGGGGCGATCTGTCTGCCTCATCATCAAGTTGATGGCCAAAGGAGCCTCAAGTCCGCAGTCTCTTGACTGCACTTAGCGACTACTAACGCCAGGTTTCAGCGGTCATGTAACTCAAGAATCCACTGGCGAAAAATGTCAGGCAATTTATGAAAGGAGAAGCTAATTAGTAACATAAGGGCATTAAATGTATTTCATTTCAATTAAAATGAAAATGCATTTTGAGAACGCGGTTTAAATAATATTTTAAAAAGTCATTTTAGAGTTATTCAAAAAAAAGCAAGCTAGATATCCAACTGCATATTTGATTGTTAATGTTAATTGGTATGTTAGAGTTGATTGCATATTTTAGGCCGCATTTTTTGGAGTGTCGGGAGTAGAACCTATGCGGTCTGCGACTGGCTTTACAGTTAAGGTCACTGATCGCTGACAGGTTGCCATCCGCCATCCGCCATCCGCGATCCGCAGGCCGGTGTCGAATGCTGGGCACGATCATTTGCATGTGGCCTGGCATAAAGCATAAAGTTGAGCTCTGCTGGATGGCGGGATGGTTGAATCGCTGGATGGATGCAATGCGATGCGATGGACAGTTGTCGTGGCTGGGCTGTCAGCCGGCGGCGCAATTTCTCTCCGGGATTTGATTTATGCCATGCGATCGCACATCGCTCACTTGTCGGAGTCGGATTCGTGGACCCCTGAGAGGGGTTGGCTGCAGATCTGCCGATCATATCTACTGCTCCACATCAGCGCAGCGATTAAGCAATATGTTTTTCTTTCCAGATCAGGCTTACCCACACTTACACCCGCTTATCTGGCATCTCCCGACCGCTTACGAAATCCGATTCCCAATCGAAATCGAAAATCGCTAGCTGACTTGGCTGGCGATGTGTGTGCGAGTACCAAGATTAATGTTGATGCTTTTTCAATTACAACTCTGGCAGCATACAAATTTGGAGTAAAACGTAATCGCTCGTAATCTCAGACGTCCTAAACGACGACTTGGTCCACGATTCCTGCCCCAGCCCCATGCCTGGGCCTCCTCCTCGACCTGGCAACTCCTGGCTCCTCAGCTCCTCAGCTCCTCGACTGCTGGCTTTTCCACTGAGTGACTGCCTAAGTGGCTGCTAGCTGCTGAATGTTAGATGCTGGATGCCTGAGTTCGGATTGGATTTCCTAATGTTTGTTTTGCATGAGCTTTTTGTCTTGGCTTCTCGCTGGCATTTCTTTTTTGTGAGTACCCTTGTTGGAAGTATGCCAACTTGAACAAAAAGTTAAACAAAGTATATATACAGCACCGGGGTGGTGCTGTTCTTATTTATCCGTGTAAGTATTGATGATATGATGGTACTGAAATATATTTAGACTTAATAGAATTTTGAATTGGCAAGGGGTACATCTTTCGGTAAGGGTAATCGCTCTTCGCTTTCCAAGACTAAACAATCTTTTCTAGTTTTTGTTTGCGCTCTGTGACATGCGCCGCTCGCTGATTGCCTGGCCTGATCCTCCTGCTCCTTCAGCTCCTCCTGATCCTCTTCTGCCCCTCGTATTTCTTGGCAATTACAAATGCCGCAGCTTGTATCTCTGCCGGCCATCGATTTGTATGGCATGGATTGGGCCGCGTACTCGAAATCGGAATCGCATCCACATTGGAGGCTCGGATATGTGGCTTCCATCGATCGCATCTCGTTTGCTTTGTCAATTGCAATTTGTTATCGCGTTGCCGGACTAATGGGGAGTAAGTCCCCGATCTCAGGTGGCTCTGGGATCGATTCCCGGCGCGGGATTTGCATTCAGCCAAGCGCAAAGATCGACTGACTTTTGTGGTCGGTGATTTCTTCTGGCTTCCCTATAAGCGGTGATTAGCCGCAGGACAATGGCAAAAAAGGATGCCGCAGAAACAAAGGGCGGAAGACTTCACAGAAGTCGGTCGCCCAGCTCTCCCAGTAGGTCACTGGGTGAAGGAATCTTGGGCAGACAATCGGGCGACAGGTACTGCGATCCCTGGACTCTTTCTTGCCATTGTCATCCCGGCAAGGTGTTTTCCTTACAGCTGATGCATTGTGGCCAGTTGCATCTGGGCTGCAGTTTTTTGCAATTGCACAAGAAACGCGCTCTGATTACCGAAGAACTGGAATGATTGGTCTTTGTCTGCACTGGTTCCTTTTGGGAATGGATGTGAGCCCTATTTATGGCCAAAAGGTGTTGCAACTGCAACATAATGTCGCCTATGCTTCTCCCACTCCTACACACCCGCATTCAATGATTTATGTTTTGAGGTTTCACATTTTACGGAACTCCCTTTATCAATGGAAATACTCGTTTAATGTTATTTGGCTAATCTCTAAGTACTTATTTCTATAAATATAACACACTAATATCAATTAAAACATGGCTATTAACGTAAATCCAAATACCCACTTACCTTGCATTGATAAGCATACGTGCCTAAGCTAAAATTTCCATCCATATCACGGACTATTGGCCGTATGCAGGTATGAGCTCAAACTTAAGTATTATCACTAATCAAATAGTCAGATAAACCTCGTCGGGTTCTCGGTTCAGAGCATGCTTCAGTGGTAATCCAATCCAATCAGGACCTGAACTACCGTCTGCCACGTCAATCAGGACTCGATAAGCAGCCGTCGCTACGTTTATCACCTGCACTCCTTGGTGCTCTGGTGTCCTTTGGTATCCTTTAGGGACTCGGGACCCATGCGCCGCCATCCGTTCGGCAAAATGCTGGAAAAGGATTGCAGAAAAGTAAACGTGAGTCAATGGCGGTGTCAGCTAATTAAATATTTGCATTGGCAAAAGGTGCAAAAAGCCGAGCGATACGGATTGGAATTGATGGAATATTATTTATGGGGGCGGGTTAGAAGGAAGTCCACGAAATGGAAAGTGTATGACAAATCGGTACCCTGTTTGCACATGCCAAAGGTGTTTTCTCCGAGAATTCGATATTGCTATTGTTGTGATTTCTGCTTTTCGAGAGGGTTGGCGGAAATTGTCACAAAACATGAGCAGGGGCAGACCCCAAGATGCGGATGTTTGGTTTCCTGTTAATTATTGTGTTTCTTGAAGGCACACAAAAACTGCAGAACGAAAGATTCAATTTGAGTTTCGAGAGATGGTGTTTTCAATAACATATTGTTGCCAAGTTTTTAGTTTTAGGCCAAACAGTTTGTATTCCCATCTGTCTGTACTTTAAACCGATAGATTAGTAAAAGAATTTAATTTAAATATTTCTATAAAGCTTACTCCCGTAAAAGTGAGTTTCTAAAAACTATTAAATCAATAAAGGCCATATACATTTCGTTTAGTGTGTTTTATTTTAATAAAAATATTCAATTTTTCTCTTTATACTCGGAATAATCTTAACAACAGTTGGCCTAACAGTAATGAGAATACATAAATTACGATACATAATAATTAAATGAATAAATTTGGTAAAATGCTGCGTGACAATGAGGCAATATACATGAACTTAAACTAAGAATACTATGGCTGAAATAAATATAATAATAGTAGCACCAAAACCGAATCGACTTAGTACAATCTTATATTAGTTATTGTCTGTTTGTTTGGTCTTCGCCAGCGGAATGTGAGTTTGCTAAGGTCATTTTGGTCCTGCTGTGGGATTCCTATGCTGAGAATCCTACGCAATAGTGATGGTGCAGTTGGAGCTGGAGTGCTTGTTCAGGAGCGACATCCTGGAAAAGGATTTGTGGCACACCTGGCAGGCATACTTCTTGACGTCCACGTGGGTCTGCTGATGGGCTCGCAGGTTCGAGCGGTCGGCAAAGGATCGTGGACAGTCGGGGCACTGGAAGGGCTTCTCTCCCGTATGGGTGCGGATGTGTCCCTGGAGCAGCCAGGGTCGGGAGAAGGCCTTGCCGCAGATGGGGCACTTGCAGGGCAGAGTGTGGGTGCGGATGTGCATCTTGAGGGCTCCAATGGTGGTGTACAGCTTGCCACACTCCTCGCAGGAGTGCGTCTTCTTCTCCTGATTACACTCGGCAGCCGGGCAGTGGAACTGCCGGTGCTTGGACAGGCCCATCGAGGTGGAGTACATCTTCTGGCACTCGTCGCACTTGAAGCGGTAGTTCTTGGCATGATTGGCGGCGACACTCGCCGAAGAGGCACTCATGGCCGGAGTGTACGAGTATCCCGATGAACTGCTCACACTGGCACCGCTGCTGCTGGACTTGGCCTCGTCGAAGAGGTGGAACAGAGCCGGCAGTGGGATGTCATTGCGCACTGACAGATCCTCCGGCTCGGAACCGGTTTCCAGATCGGATCCCGGGCTGGAGGGCGGCGTCATCTGCTGGTAGCTGTAGACTGACTGGGGCGAGGCCATCGAGCTGGCTGGCGAGGGGAAGGCGGCCAGATGGGGCTGATAGCTGCTCCACAGGGCGGAGATCGGATTGCAGCCGGCGGCCATCACAAAGGCGGACTGGAAGGGATTAATCGTGGTGGGAGTGGCGGTGGTATAACCCGTTGTTCCCGAAGTTAGTCCTCGCATATGGATTTCGGTGGGCAGGTAATCCTGGGCCTCCACTGGCGGCGACAGCAGGCAGGAGTTGGAGCTAGAGCTGGAGATCCTCTCCGGTGTTTTTGAGAGGTTCAGCACATAGTCACGTTTCGGCTCCGGCTGCTGATAATCCTGGGTCTCCTCCTCGCGGCCCCGTTTCAGGGATAGATCCTGCGGCTGATCCTGGGCAAACTGCGAGTCCTTGGTCAGGGCCAAGGCCTCCGTTTGTGGCAGACGCTCCTCCACGAAGACAATGGGGCGCTTCTTAAGCGGGCAGCTCTTATAGTTGGCGGCCATTTTTGATGTGTGTGTGTTTGTGATTACGTTTTAGTTTCCGGCACTGATCGAGATCGGTAAATCACTGAGATCGGCGATCGAGAGGCGAGTTATATAGCTAGGGATCGAGTATAGCGGTGGTTGCGTTCTCAACGAGAGCTGAGGTGGCTGTGACAGGTCGACTGTCGAGCACGCTCTTTTATACCCGGTACCCTGCGCCTCTGCCGGCGTCGCTGCCGCCATTTGGTGGTGGTTCTTCTTCAAAACAGAAAAATACTCGCACGTGTGCGTCGCTACCTAGCAACAACAACAGCGCTTTTCCCATACCCTTATTGCGTATTTCCCTCGCTTCCCTCTACCTGCTCGCTCTCTCTCCCTCTCCCCTTCTCTCTCACTCTCTTCCTGAGTTTCCACCTCTCTCGGAAGAGCAGCGCAGGCGCACCCTCCCAGGAGCAAGGATCCCCCGTATAAGTTATGACAGCTCTGCCGGCTCTCCAATTTCCAATTTCCCGATCCGTTCACAACCCACCCGTAATAACAAGTTACACTGCAAGTTGCACTATCTGCTCCCTACCTATGGATCACCCTAAGTAATTTTCTATTTTTAAGCACGAGTCAAATAGGACGCCAGTGCCCTTCGTTCCTGGGGTGGTTTCTGCACTTAGATTGAGTGCTTCAAGTACATCTGCCGAGGCTCTGGATTCGGTTGCTGGGGGGAGTTGAACCTGAGCGGTACGCACTGACAAAAATGACACCTTCGCAGCGAGGTGTTCCAAAAATAACGCTGATAATGAGCCGAATTCCGAGCCCAAGTGTCAACTCTGGGGTGCACTCTGCGCTGACTTATGGCTCATCTCCAGTGGCTCATTGGCAGCGATCGATGAGAGCTAGGAAAACATAGCCCAGGGCACAGGAGCTTGGCAAGGAATTGACGAAGAGTGTCGGGTCTTCTTTGAGCTTACCTTGGATTACCTTGGAGATCTTGTGTTCCCACGATTTTTGCTTAGCTAAGGAACAAAAGGACTCAATTACAAGTTACGACTTTTAACTGATGCTGTCTCAAAATAAGTTCGAAAGAAAACGTAAAAGATCATATATAAGATCAGCCAGCATCCAACTGAGTTTGTCTAGGACTCTCCCACAATTCTCGCTTTCCAACTCCGCTGATCTTTGACTGCTTCGTGCCTCATCGCGCACACACAACTTTCCCAGCAAGCACCTCCAGACTTTCAAGCCACCCCTCCAACTATGGATGGGCAACTTTCCCAACTCCCACTCCCGCATGGAGGCTGACATGCAGACTGTGTAGCCGGAAAACCAGACAAGCCCGCATAGCCAAGTCCGATTTTCCGGGTCGTCAAAAGAAAAAACCAGGCGCGTTGGTAAAATTGGAAAAAATCCGTAGCAAACCCAAAAGTTTTGATAAACCCAAGAAGTGACAAAAAATTCCAGCGCGGAATTCCAATTCCCCGCGATCCTGCAACCAATGGCGTGAGGGAAGATGGGAAATGTCGAGCCAATAACCCAGCCGCATTTCCATTTCGTATTTCCCTGCAATGGATTTTCCTTCGGCGAATGTCCGGATGTGGATCAGCGAAGGATTTAAAGTAATTTCCCATCTTATCCAATTACGCAGTCAGCGAAACTCAAGCAAAACAAGCCACGAGGAGTGGAAAAACTGGCTGGGGGTTTTCTATACCTCCTCACATCCTACCTGGTGGGTCATCCCGGATATCTCGGTTATTACGTGTGTTATTCCGCGCAATGATCGCCATGACACATCCAGGCACATATCTACCTAATGATCACCGCGATGTAGTCCTCGGCCGCGGAATTGCCCGTTGGCCACCGCGGATAACCCGGCCAGGTTCTCATTCATATCGCGGGAAAATCCGCACTTGTCGCCCGCACATCCGTGAAGTACCTGACTTGCAGAAATTCCTGGTCGGGTTGGCCCGCTCATTAGCATTAGGTAGATTGGCGGCCAGTGTTTTCCGCTTCATTCATTACCTCAATATTTTGGGGGAAAACCCTTTCGGGGCTTATATACTTCTTGTCCCGACTCGCTCGGCATTTCTGCAGGTGCTCGGCTGCAGTTCGGCAGTTTGATTTTCCCTAGACATTGTTGTCTTTGTCAATTTTCGCTGACAATGGGCCCGTCCCAATTTTGCACCTTGTCCTGGCTCATTTGTTCAAGCTGACAATGAAGAGGGAACACAAGGATCTGCAGAGCTCGATTCATATTGTTGGAGCCATGCGAAATCGTAAATCGAGTTACAAAAAGAATTGGGTCGACAACCAGGGGCAGGTGGAGACGCTATGAACAATGGGCAAAAATGCAATCGAAAAACAAAATTGTAGGCTTTTAAAGTAGAGGGTCAGCAAAAGTTTTATATAATAATAATAATCAACGTTACGCAGCTGTAAAGACAGTGGGTTTCGTTGTTTTCTGCTCACATAATACGTAATATTCGCATATCAGTCTCGGGAAAATCTTATCGTATTTTCGCCCCAAGGATCCTGTAACTGTTTTTCCAGCTTTCTAGTCTGCGTTTTTCTGACTCAAACCGCCACTCCTTCACAGGAATAACAGTATATCCAGGTCACCTGGCCTGGTGAACCTTTGGCAAAAAAGGAGATATGGTGAGGAGAAAGAAAAATAAAGGAACGAACATTAAGGATACCACCAAGAAACACAGACTATGGCCCAAGATATACGATGTGTGATGTCGTTGACAATGAATTGTTGATTACTATGCTACCCCCAGGTCAGGCTCTCCTTTTTTTGGCACGGAACAAAGGAGCTGCGATCCATAAATCGAGGATCGGAGCAGCAGGGAAAATCACTGCCACGGGCTGTATGTGTGTGGATGTGGACCGGGTGCATTGCACAATCAATAGGTTCGCGACACAATGGCCGAATACAGTGGAGTAAATGTTTTGAAAAGCCAGCGAAAGGAATTGCTTCTCGGAATCCATCGACGGGGCCGGCGTATCAATGTCCTTTAGCCAGAAGAAATCAAAAAGTTGGATCACCTGGCCGTATCTGTCGGCGTTTATGTGCGGGTGCGGGTTCCATCGCTACCTGTGGCCCATTGTTCGCTGCAAATTGTGAATGACCCCCGACCCCCGACCACGACCCTGGAGGATCTAAAAATCTAGACAGACCCCAACAGCAAGCTCTATTGTCGCAAGTCCTGCACTTGTGGCAGCTGCCTTGACTTCCAGTTCGATTCCCCTTTTCTTTGAGTCGACGCAGGTTTCGCGCCTATTCACGGTTCGTTATCCTGTCAATTCTGTGTCGGCATTACGGATCCTGTTGTCAGTGTGCTGTCGTCATCGCTGCCCCAACGTTCCATTATCCTGGAGCGACTAAGCTGATTAGGGACAACGCGTGTGTCCTGCGTGCTGGCCACACTAAACACTCTGTTTAGCCTATTACACGTGTCTCCTAAATGAAGTGTGTAAATATTATTTAAGTCCGTTGCGGTGATTACGGCGGTGACTACTTAAAAAAGGGAGTTTTTGGTCAGACCAAATGGACTACAGGGGTTGAATGTTTTTACTCACTAATGATAGTGACTTCCGCTTGGAAACGCTTCCGAATAGGAGGGTCACCATTTTGTATGTAACAGAAATATTTATAAAAATAATTAATAATTTAATTAAAGAAAAATAAATCAGACTTGGCATTACCCCATGCAACCTATGATTTTTTACATCACTTTAATTCTTTGATATATTGGAGACGCACACCAAGTTAGGCTAGGTCAAGCCGAAGAAACTCCCCCATTAACAGGATTTACAACACCTTTTGCCAGGACCCTAGATGGGCAGAGCAAAAAAAACCCACACAAACACAAGGCAACCAAGGAGCCGTTTAGAAGAAATCATTGCACCGGGCGGACGGGTGAACGGACAACAACAAAGGAACAATGGAAATAATGTCAACTCGAGGGTGGCGCGTTGGTGGCTTGGCATTGACAGCTGCAGCTCAGTCCAGGACTCTTCTCCTTTGGCGCGTCTTCGTCTTGGGCCTTCGGCTTGGGTTTTTCGTTTTCAGCTCTTGGTTTTTGGTTTTTGGTTCTTAGTTTTTGGCAAGATGTGCATCTGTTTGCCCTCAGCCCGAAAAAATCGAGACTTGATTCGGACGTTGACTTGCATCTGCGGGCGCACAATGCCGAGAATTTAGCAAGTACACCAGGAAAAATAAGGCAAGATTGCAAAAATTTAAGTAGATTTTAGGATATTTTCGTTTTTATAACACAACTTTTGAATTTTACTACAATGGTGTACTGAATGCATTACTACATTTATCATACAGAATAAGAGACTATAAACTAGCTCATAAAATTCCTAAAAGGTTACCAGCAAATATTTAAGAATCGTTATATTTTTTCAGTCTTTTGCACAAATTGTATATTGGACTTAAGGCGCAAGCTGGTTTTTTAGAGTGCACGAAACCACCGCATTTATGATCGACATCGGAGTACGAGTAATCACAGTCAGCACAGGACACAACAATAGTGCACCATTCGAGATTCTTCAGCATTTTTCAGGATTTTTTTGGCGGCAGGCCTCGGGGTCCTACCTGAGCCACATCCTTTGTCGACTCTGGCCTGCCTTTGATTTTGAATTTTTGAATTTCATTGCCCGGCTGGAGGCTGTCGGAATTTGAATTGGACTGCGACTGCTGGGGTAATGCAACCGCAATTGTTTCGCCCCCTTTGTTCTCACTGGCGTTTTGGCATGTGCAGGGATTCTCTTCGAGCCGTTCAAATGAGTTCCGTTCTGGATTCCCTTTGTCGTCGGTTATGCAGATGCATATTCCTTAAGATATAACAAAATGTTGCATCACAGCTGCCCAAACACTAGCCCCTAACGGAGCATTTGAAGATCGGAAGATGGAGAACGGAACCGTTGCAGAGATCATATCTGCTCGATATTATAATTTTCCGGCTTTTACTGTTTTCACAATGCTTATTGTTTTGATCCAAATGGAAAAACATTGCAACCTTAGATTTCCAAACCTTTATGTGTAGTCCTACACATCTGTTGTGGAAATATAATTGCAAAAATACTATGTGCGAAATAATTTGTACATCATAGAACTCGATCTAAAGTTCTGGGCTGGTGTTTTTGAAAATATAAATTATTTAAAATCGTACTGTATCCAGATACATTTACAATTTCTAAATTTCTGAATTTTTTAACAATTAGAAATAATGAAAATAAATGCTAGTGAATGGGTTAGCAAGCCAATTCATTCCTAATTTGTTTTTACATTGGAGATGCCAGTTGGCCTGCGACTTCCCGGAAAACTGTAAGCCAAGAAACCCCTTGCCGGAATGGCCAATCCTTTCGCATAATGTGCCCACATTAACACCACATCGATCTAGTCCCAACCCAATCATTTATAACAACAATTACCACAACAATTACCGTGGAAATGAAGATTTCATTGGAAATCCCGCAGCAGTGGCAACAATGTGCCCAGTATTTACATTTACAAATCGAATATAATGTCTTATCCTGGAGGCATTTCCCCTCAATGATCGCCGATAACATTCTCGGGAGTGAGAGCAATCAATCGAGTGCAACACGTTCTAACGATTTACATGTCAAGTTGACGAGAGTTGTCCTGTTCAACAATGGACTGGCGCTTCGTGTGTGTCCAGGTGTCCCCTCATACTTATATTTTGGTTTCGATCGGGGTTTCGCTTTCATTTGTCACCGCTGTCTGACACCTTGTTATGCTGAGATATCCATCGAGGGCCCGAATGCGAAGACTTCCCCTTTTTTGAGCTAAGCAAACACAGTTGCGGCCGTTTCAAAATTTCGATTATGCTCGCGTGATAATTATGCATGCCATCCTAAGCTTCCCTTTCTGGAGTTGGTATACGCAGTATAAAATAGTTTGGCTTGGCTTGGTTTTATCGGTCGACGACAATCGGTCTCATTGTTTCCGTTTCCCACCGTCTGGCTTTGCCTTTGTAGGAATTGCGTCTTTGGAAAGGCGCAATCCCCATTCCCCTCCCAATCCCCATCCCAATTCCTCCGTCCACTCCCCATTCCCGATCCGAAGTTGCCCAGCTGCGGCAGTAAATTTTATGGTTAACTACGCTCCGACATTCGTGCTATTTAACCTTTTTGTGCCGTTGAGCTCCGGGGCAAAAGATCCCCGATCCACGTGCGACTCTGTTTGCTCTGGCTCTGGTTCATATGCTAATGGGTGTCTGGCGGGGGCACAAACAAGACCAAGTACTTCTTACTTGCAACCTGTAGTGCGAAATTGGAGTTCTCCTCTTCCCCGCCCAAATTTGTTAACAAAAATGGCCTCCGATGCTTGAAATCTATTAGATAGTAGGCTTGCTCGCACGATTCACAACGCACTCTGGGTTTGACAGACACAAGAGACACAATTTCTTACACATATTGAGCGACGTCAAGTCACATATAACTCAGTTGACAACATAAACATAAGTTTTGAAATTCGCCAAATTTGGTTTTTAGTTTCGGCCAGAGATAGGAAATCCTGCCAGCGAAGAGTGGCAGAATGGAGGAGTATTCGCGGGAACCGTGTCCCCATCGCATCGTGGATGATTGCGGCGGAGCTTTTGCCATGGGCTGCATCGGCGGCGGGGTCTTCCATGGACTCAAGGGTTTCCGGAACGCACCACAAGGCATTGGACGCAGGGTCGCCGGAAGTGTGGCAGCCATTAAGAGCAAGTCTCCGGTGGTAGCTGGAAGTTTCGCCGCCTGGGGTGCAGTGTTCAGCATTGTGGACTGCAGCCTGGTCCACCTGCGCCAGAAGGAGGATCCCTGGAACTCGATAGTGAGTGGAGCAGTCACTGGCGGAGTTCTGGCCTGCCGCAATGGACTGGCTGCCATGACAGGGAGTGCAATTATCGGGGGCGTACTGCTCTCAATGATCGAGGGTGTGGGCATATTGTTTACGCGGTTCGCGGCGGATCAGTTCCGAAATCCTGCGCCGCCGACCATGTCTGAGTCCAATGGAGGATACGGCGACTTCGACTCCTCATCCGGGCTTGGATTTCCTGGTGCTCAGCAGGCCACTGCAACAAGCTAAATTCCGATTTTTGTTTTCTGGGGATTTAATTACCTAGTGCTTTTTTGATAGGTTTCACACCGTCAGATTTAGCAAAAAAAATATCTATTTGAGAATAATCCAAGAAAATAAAATATCGACAATAAATTCGTTTAAGCAACATTGAGATATAATTATTAAGATACAACTATTAGATACAATTATCTGTAATCTGACCGCTCATAATGGCCAGTCCTTGCTTAAGTAGCCACTTCTCGTTACTCATTTCATATCCATGTTATTCATTCGTATCCATTCTTGCCTCAACAGGTAGTAGGTTGTTTCACACTTGCCCGAATGCAAGTCAAAGGCACCTGACACGTGTCATAGGTCAGCGTGAGCTATTGGCAAATGTTTACCTGTCCAGATGACTACCTGCGATGCTGCGCCGGCGCATAGAGTCAAGTGCCCGGTTGGTGGGTGTGGCCTCTTTACACTTTACAACCTGTCCACTCGAGATGACCGCGGTGTTCTGGCCATTAGTCGGTGCTGAGTGGCACTGGCTACCGGCCACATGTCCCGCTCCTAGCCGGAAAGTCTGGAGCGTACTCGAATTATAATATTTCCCCCGCAAGGCAAAAAACCAAAGGCAATGCCGATTTCCCGGCACACATGGACAAATGGGACAAATGAGTACGATGGGAAGATGGAAAGTCGAGCCCAGTTATAAAATCGTGGGAAAACGCCGCCTACAAGGAAATCCCTTTTCGGTCGATAGGGAAATTTCTTGAATAGATGGCCCAAACAACATATGTAACTTTGGCTCGTGTGTTTTTTTCCGCGAGCGCCGACTCCTCGTAATGTGTGCGAGATTTCTCGCCTTGAGGAATTCCGCAACAAAACATTTGGACACGCCTGGCGCTACGGGAAAAGCACAGCAACATCATCATGTGGCCCGGCCAGGATGTGTGGGAACTGGCGAGCTGGGAATCCAAGGAGTCGCACCTACGCATAACGCATAGTACGTGCCCCGGTCCGGTCAGCTCACACATGTGCAACCATCACTGCCAGTCCGGTTTGTTTTCCCAGCTCCGCAGTTGGAGTTCCGCCATATGTGAGAGGGCCAGGAGAACTCCCTCATGGGAAAACGGAGAGCCCAACGAAGTCGAAGGTAGGACCAAGGTGAGAGGGACTCTGGCACATGGGACTTCGCAGGGTTCCTGCAGCTATCACAGCTACACCACAAAAAATGTCTGCTCACTTGGAAGGCGCTAAATAAGGTTCTAAAAAGTCATTTAAATACTTAAGTAAAGTGCATTTATATAATTAAATCGTTATAATGGGTCTTAGCGAAAATAGCCCATTTAGGTGTTAATTTAATAAATGTTTATAAATGTAATTCTTAAACATTTTAGACATATTCATATGATTAATCCTTATAGATATTAAATCTTGAGGAAAATCAATTGAGGAAATCAATATTTTGAGCACTAGAGAGGCCCATATTTTTCTACGTGTAGATAAGGCACCAGGCCAAACAGTTCACACCTTCGCCTGGACAGGCTTGAGATTGGTATTGGAATGGGACCGAAACGGGGCATGTGGCCAGCACATGTTTGGCGTTGGCCAACAAAACACCTCAATGCGAGAAATCAACCCAAACGGAAGATTCTTTGCATGCTGCGCCCGCATGGCGCTAAACGCGAGCTACTTATCAGAGCTGTTGAGGCTAATAGAAAATTCCAGCAAATTCAAGCAATAGAAACAAAAATATTCAAAGGTTAAAGTCTTGATTTGTGAAAAGGCCTTAACGAACACAATTTTTGCAAGTATATTATTCTGCGTGGCACATACCTTCTACTTGTATAATCTGGACTTGTATTAATCTGGAGACCGATGATAGCAGATTTGTTGATCTGAAGCTGGCCTTGGCACATGTCAATGTCAATCGTTGAACCGCACTGAAATGAAAGCGAGGCGCATTAAAGGCATATTTCCGACTTTCTGGCACCTTTCAAGCTCTCTGCATTAGGCGATTTGCATTTCGCTGGAGTGCCAGTTGAATTTTGTATTCCCGAAATCAGGCGCCAAAAATCTCATGCATATATGACACACATTTTAAGTGGGACTGGGACAAGTCTGCAGGCAGACCAATGCATTTATTACGCGACTTGATTTTAGAATTCCTAAAAAGCTACTGCTAGCTGAATAAATTAGGCTCCAGCCCCCAGAAAACCTGGGCTGAGTTCACAACAAGTTCAAGGGTGCTACACGGCAAAATGTCGGAATTTAAAAAATAACACAAAATAACACACCAATCATTCATATGGAAAAGGTTATTCTGTTTGCAATGTTGTATAAAGTAAATCGTTTATACTTTGTTTTATACTTTGTATGATTATATTGATTTATTTTGTGTCTTTTTTAATAAAGGCCACGCATTTTGTCAGATTTATTTTTGTTTTAAAATGTATTTCCATATATATTATTTGATGTCAACTGTGCATTCTCAGTTTTCATTTGGAAGATCACTGCACCCGGACCCAAAAATGTGTGCACTGCAATAGTTTGCAGGGCAATGGGCAATGACTCTTTTTCCATGTGGCATGATCTACGGTCTGTCGGACTCCATTTGCATTATTTCAACCGCATCGATAATCGCTTTCAATTTTCTACTGCCGCTTAGTATGCATGCGATCCATTTGCATGTTTTCGGCTGATGAAATTGATGAAATCATCGTCCAGAGCAGAGCTGTCGAGAGTTCTTCGTCTTCCTAAAGCAAAACTGCATCCATCAATGATGGCTCCGTGATCCGGGACCCGTCTTTTCCTATCAGCTCTGACCTTATCCCAAAAAACGGCAATCGAATTCATTAAGGCAGCCATGTTTAAGCTCACCATCAAAGGGAATGCAAAGCGAAATTCTTTGATATCTGCCTGAAAGGTTCAGGTGATAAGACTTAAATGGAGTAAGAGTTCTGCATTGTCAAACATTTTCTTGGAATTTTCTGGGTAGCCCTAAAGCGAAATCGATGACGATGTGGTAGGTTAGGACTGAAGGCCCCCGAAACCGATCGTGGAGTCGCGGAGTATTGACCCAGTTGAAGGTGACTTGGAACGAGTGAATTAAGCGGTCTTTGGTAAAATGAAATCGCATATTAAATGGTATAAATCAGATGACCTGGTTTGGCCAACTATAATACAAAGTATACCTTGATACTTCGATGGTATAAAGTGTAGTATTTCTCTTAATATGCAATTTCTTAAAGAAACATGATAGATATATAGACACTAGCTATATAGCAACAAGACCTAAAAGTAATGATGCAGTTTATCCTGAAATCCCCCTTTGTGTTATGCAATTTCCTTGATAAATCAGTTATGTTTTCCCATTCCCTCATTAGGGGATTTGTTGGCCCCAACTACTTTTCGGCCGTGTTTGGCCCGTTTAGCCGCCAAGGGCTCAACTTTGCGCCTTTTGAAGTCATTAGGCGGAATTAAACGCGGCAAATGGAACGCAGAATCGAAGGCAAATGGCAAATTATTCACTGTCAGGCAGGCGAACAACGCAGAATGCAAATGCAACGGAAAATGCAGCAAATGCAGCGGAAAGCACGGTGGAAAAGTGCAACTGCTGGCAAACAATTGCAGTTACTAAGTACGAAAATATTATTGCCAAATGGTCTCGCCATCGATTTTGGGCGCCTGATAAGCCGCCAAGTCAGAGTCAGGCGAGCTGTATCGGCCAGAAATCCATTGTGGCTGCGGCTCTTTTTCAAGGCGAGTAGCTTCAGGTCCTAACCGCCGTCAATTGTTGACTTTAATTTGTTTTATTGGCGAACGACGAGCGAAGGAGCGACGATGTCGATAACGCTAACTAAGCGGGTCAGGGCTGCCGGTTCGTTTCATATTGGCTATGGAAATGTGGGGGTTCTCTGCGAGGTTCTAGTCACCATGGTTCACCATGGTTCACCATGACTCACACACATGGGTTCACACATTTAGCCGCCGCCTTATGGGCGCACACGTCGTATACGCAACCTGAGCGGGATTTGCATAACAAGGCGGTCAGCGACAAGTCTTGGTAGCTTTAATGCCTTTAGGAAGTCACTGGCAGCGCTCCCGACCTGAATACAACAAGAAACAAAAGTAAACAGCACATATCTGTTTACAATAACAAAGGGGGAAAACGTCGTGGTTTGGGCTTTCGGTTTAGAGTCCGATTCCGCGTCCAAGTCGCCCCAACTATCCGCACAATAGACAGGTCCCATAATAATTGTGCAGTGTGCTGCATGGCCCCACTTATCTTTTATGTAAATTACCTGGCATAACAATTTCAGTCTGTGATTCCCAGCCCCCAGCCCAGTTCGTCGTCTACTGTTACAATTCGGGAAGTCGAATCAAAGGCGAAGTACTTTAATATATATAAATGCGAGCACAATGCAAATTATTGTCGAAATGTTTAATGACAAACTGTTGATGTCACGTCACGAACTCCGGCCAGGTTGCCGACTTTCCTCAGCCTCTGCAGTACAAGTCCCCAGTCAGTCGGTTCACGAGTTTGTAACGGACTTAATGTCATAAGCGGGCATATCAGGTTCATCCTGGCATCCGTTGAGCAGATCCCCTTTGGAAAGTGCCATGCCGCAGATGAATGGCCTCTTTTTATCTGGACTGGGAGCTGCGTTTTTTATTGGGGCAGATGATCTTCTTTCAGTCGGCGAGCTGAATGTTGCTTGCCACTTGCAGAGCCAACTACAATGGGTTCTCATAGTCCTGAGAGATGGTAAATTACCTAAGCTATGGCATTTATTCACGATGGACATAGATCTTCCTACATACCTAAATCGTAAACATAAGTCTTTTAATATATTCGTACACATGGCTTGGTGACTATATAATAATGTAATTTATAATATATAATTGTTTTTAATAAACCTACGCTACTTGTTGAGTAATCCCTAATCTCCAACTTGTATAGCACATTCAGCATATCTCAAGTGCCACTCTACCTAATCAGCCCCTCCTTATCAGCCCAAAGCTCTTCATTCGGTCTTATCAGCTCGCCACTTCACGCCAACCCACTCAAAACCTTGGCAGCTTTTCCCACGCACTCTTATCAGCGGGCGTATAAAGAAAATTTCATCGATCGATGGCGCTCAGCTCGCAGGGAACAGGAGCGG